CTTCCTGTAGGCAGCTGTTGTAAACATCCGTAAATATAGAAGCTTGTTTTTGTATTGCCTTCTTCAGTACAGTATTGGGGATTCCATCCAAACCAGGAGATTTATTGGGCTTAACTCTGGAAGAAGCGGCTATGACTTCAGAATTTGTAACCGGAGGTATCTCATTTAAATCGGTGTTTATCGGTATTAAAATTCCCTTTTTTGGGAACAAATGTTTCACGATATTCGCCATTATTTTAGGACATGAAGGTACCGAGCCTCTTAACCTCTTAAATTTACGCATTACTATTTTGTAGCCATCGCCCCAGACATTTTGGTCTACATCATTGATCAGAGTTTGAAAAGCTTGATTCTTACTCCTAATAATTGCCTTTTTAAGTTTAGATCTGCTCTCTCGGTATTTTTGTAGAAGCCTTTCCGCATCTACTCCAGATCTGTGACGTTGGAATTGCCTACGGGAGGCAAAGCACTGAGATCTTAGTAAAGCTATTTCTTCCGTCCACCAATAGTTTGATGGGCGCCCATTACCTCTGCCTTTTCTTGGCATTGATGCATCACAGACGTTGCATAATTCCTTCATAAGGTGACTTGATTTTTCAAAAGCATCCCCGACTCCGAAACTCATGTTTTCGGTCATGAATTCCATTATCTCTGTGTCAAGATACTTAGTTTTCCAGCCTATTTGCTGTGCTTTTCTCTGCGATTTTTTCAAAACAAACTTCTCTTTTAGCGATAAGGAAAAAAGAATTGCATGATGGTCGCTGTGGGTGTAGTGGTTTGTTACATTCCATTGCGAACCCCTTACTAATGACGGGCTGACAAAGGTGAGATCTATGTAGGAAACGCCTCTACCATTATCGAACGTTGGGCTATGCCCATTGTTCAGTTGTATTAGGTTTAGTGAGGTAAACGTTTCTAATAGGGCTCTACCTCGGCGCGTCGTATTACTACTGCCCCATTCTACTGCCCAAGCATTGAAATCCCCTGCCACAATGATGGGAGTTTTGTTTCTGATTGTTCCTGATAGCCTATCAAGAAACTCTTCAAATCTCTCTTGGGAGATATTTGGGGATATGTAACAGCTGCACACATAGATACCCCGGATTCTGACAAGTACTAGACCTTCTTTTTGTATCAATACTCTTGGTTCAAACACTATGTCCTGTCCTAGCCAAATGGCAGCCTTTGCAGTAGTGTCTTGTACCCATTTGGAGGTTTCTTTTGATTTGTAAAACTCACTAATTATGAGTACATCTGTCTTTAATTCCAAAGCTGTTTGGGATAAAAGGTCTTGGGCAGCTTCGCATCGATTTAGGTTCAATTGCAGAAATTTAATCATCTTTTGGACTTAAGCTCCTGTATAGCCTTCCTGTAGAATTCACATTTGGAACTTCTTGAGTAGTGTAGATTGCCACCGTTGCAGTTTTCCGGACATAGGATGCATTTTCGTTGCGCCGAGCACGTTTTTGCCCTGTGGCCATCTTGTCCACATCTCATACATGTGCCTGATCTGTCATTATCGCTTTTGCACTGTCTAGCAGCGTGTCCAAATTGAAGACATTTGAAACACCTCATGGGTGTGATATGCTTTCTGATCCTACTGCGTACCCAGCCAACTCTGACTGAGGCAGCTGCGATCAATACACTGGCATCCTTAGTAGGAAGGTCAATAATTGCTGATCTTGTGCTGTCCCTTGCGGCACGCCAAAACTTGAAGTTGATGTCACTTACATTTATTGCTGGAAATTGATCAGCAATCGCCGCGCGCACCTCTTCGTTGGATGTTACCTCGTCCAAATCCCTGCATTCTATTAGGGTGTGCTGTGTTAAAGATTTTACACTAGCACAATTCTGAAGTGTGTTTTTCATTTCATTGCAGAAGTCCTTCGCTAAATTTCCAGCTTCTTTGGTAAGCTGAATCAATATTTCCCCCTCTTTAGTTTTTCGGATTTTGTTCACGTTTTTTCCGAATTCTTGTAGCTCTGGTTTTGTTTTAATGATCTTTAACATTTCAGCGTAAGACTTGTCTGCCGTCTTACTAATGAGAATTGATTCCGGTTTTACTCTAGGCGCTTTAATGAGGTCCAGATTTGGCACAGTTTTCCCTTTTTTCTTTTGCACTAGCTGCCATTTGTGAAAATTCGTTTCCTGCTCCTTACTTCCAATTTCTCTAATTTGGACTTTGGGTGGTGGACCGTTCGGTTTTTCTTTCGCAGCACGCTTTAGTGCTCCCTGAGTTTGCACGCTAATGGAAGCTACATTCTTAGCCACCAACGGCACTTGTGGCCCCCTTTCTTGTTCCGTCTTATACATCTTAACTATCTGTGCAAGCAGATCCCGCATATCCTTATTAATATGCCTTTGTGATTCCATCATCGCAGATAGTTGTACCAGCTTATCCTCTACACTATCATCAGGCTTGGGGGATAAAGGTATGTTTAATACCTCCTTCTCCATTGTTTTTTGTACTGCGTTTTGTTTCCGCAGAGGTGATGTTTTTTGCCCACTCATACCTTTTCGATACCCTATTAATTTAATTAGATTTAATTAAATTAAAAGGGTATCCTAAATTAATTAAATTAAAATAATTTAATACCTGTAAATTTCAAATGCTCAAAATTCCAAATTCAAGTAAAAATTAAAATTTGCTAATAAATTTAAAATTTGCTAATTAAATTAAAATATTCTGCTAAATTGCTAAATCAGTGTACAAGATTACACGATTGTTTAGGTTTTTGTGTAACAATTGATCTAATTATTTGATCGTTTTGTAACACTTATTCACTTTATAATGTTTCTGTTTAATAATTTCAATTGCTGTCTCTATCAGCTGATTTTATATGTGTGCAATTATTTTGCAAAACAAAAAAGCGCACAAAGTCAAACAAATTCAATAAAAATAAAAACAAAATATGTAAATTCAAAAAGTTGAATAATTTAAAATGAAATTTTTTAAAAAAATAACACTTATCGGCTGCAGCTCTTTATCGCTCCAAGTGAGTACATTATATTCCACCGCATTTAAGAACTTTTTGTTGTTACAACACTTCAATTGCAGGAAATATATACCGAACTAGCGGACCGCACTCGAGACGCGTGTATTCGCGGCAAAAACAAAAACAAAAGCCCTAGATTAATTATATAAACTTGAGATTACTAATGTGTACAATTCAATGACATAGTATTTTAAAAAAACAAAATAAATTCATTAAACGTGATTAAACTTGAGAAACTTGAGATTATTTCCTGGTATTCTGCTGTATCTGGAGGTTGTTCCTTTGGAGCTCGATGATCTCTAATCTGGTTCCGTGGTTTGTATCTTCATATGATTACTTGCTCAATGCGTACCTGTGTGGGACAGAGGGGTTAGTGGATATATAAATAATATATATTTATTTGTTTATTTTACTGAATATACACATAATAGTGTCCAAGCGCCTTGACTTAAAACCGCCCATGCGCTTGTGAACAATAACGTATATATTTTAGTAAATTATACACTAAGACTTAAAACCGCCTTCGTGTCAGGGAATAGTTTATATTTCTTTTAATTTATAATTTTTGACATACAATACCACTGAGTGATCATACAAGACTCACTACCCTTACCAAAAATGCGTCGTCTTTTATACAGATCAGACGAGCTTTTTGCGTAGCGCACATACAATTGTTTTCTGCTGTTTTGTGGAGTTTTGTTTATTTTCACGTTTGTATGTCTTGATCTACGCTCAGCAGATCTCGTCTATCTCTTTGCGGCGAATTTCTATTGACGTTTCTGACGTTTGTTTGTTATGTTTTTATTTTATAATTTAAAAAAAGCGGCGGTGCTCGTGTTTTTTATTTTTATAGTTGAATTATTTATAAATAAAATAATAAATAATTTATAAATAAATTATTATAAATTAATTTAAATAAATTTATGTGGAAAAATAATGAAAGTATGTTATATTGTTATTTTTATTTATATACCTTTTTGTATTTATTATTAAAATGTTTAATCCTAATTATAGATTACTTCACGTATTTTGTTCAAAGTGGTGGTGTTACTAAATTTATGTAGGTTGGAAATTATTACAAAATTTCCATCCTTACAAAGTTGTTGAATCATTCGTTCCATATTATATATACGTGAATTTATGGAACTCACATCTACCAGCTCACGGATTTCCTCTATTTTCAGGTGCTCCGTCAGACGCAATACCAACTGCGCTTTATTGCCCATCGTATTTAAACCTTCTTCTTCCAACGCCTCCTTCACATGTCCTTCAAGTTCCCCATTTTAATTTTATTACAGCCGTTAATTTATAAAGAACAAATTTCGTTTCACGTTTCGTTTTGTTTTATATCTTAACTTTGCTTTCGCGCATGTTAATTTGTTGAAGCACTAGCGCTGTCAAGGGCACACTCACACGTTTCGGCCAAGCGATATTTATCCCACTTCTGATTTTTGTTAAGTTAAATTATTATTTCTTATATTTTATATTTAAAATAATTGTACAAAACTCTGACTGTTATAATTTTCTCTTATATCTTTTACATGTAGAAATTTTAAGTTCAATCTTTACAATGTGTTTTTATTACTCAATAAATAAAATAATGCTATGCATCCCGCCATTTCACAAAGTACACCCTGCATTGTTGCATTTTCGTATATATATTTTCGTGTTCTTTACAAGTATAATATTTTCAATACTCAAGAATGAAGATAGGTCGGGTGTAGCCAATTATAGGGGCGTGGCGTTTATAAACACAAAAGCAAAAATATTGAAGGGTGAGCTCAATTAAAGGCTATTATGTTTGGTTGAAAACAATAATATCATGTCGGAATAGGATTTCGTAAAAACTATTCCACGGTAGACAACCTATACAATCTAGCATCCATTGTGAAGTTCCAATTTAATGAAATTAAGAAAATATACGCTGTGTTTATAGCATCCATTGTGAAGTTCCAATTTAATGAAATTAAGAAAATATACGCTGTGTTTATAGATCTAAAGGCTGCATTTGATAAAATCTCTAGAAAATTACTTATGTACAAACTGAGGAAAATTGGAGTTTCAAGAAAATTTTTAGATTTCATTGATCAGGTTTATGAGACGACCAATTCGGTAGTCAGGAACGAAAGTCAAGTATCCGAGAGTTTTAACCAATTGCTGGTGTCAAACAAGGCTGCTTGCTTTCCCCTCTTCTGTTATATCTAAATGATTTACATGATTATCTAGAGGGTAGTATGCAGGTGGAAGAACTGAATATAAGGTTGCTGTTATATGCAGATGATATAGTTATCTTGTCCGATGATGCAAAAACGCTACACAAAATGATACGGAATCTTGAAAAATACTGCGATAGTTGGAATTTAGAGGTAAATTTAGCCAAATCGGCAGTCATGGTGTTTAGGATAGGCGGTAGGCTGTCTAGCAGAGAAAGGTGGACGTACAAAGAGGAAGCGCTTAAAATAGTTTTTAGGAGTAACGCTCACGCCAAAAATGATATTTAAAAAGCACCTGGAAAACAGGAATATATCTGCAAAATCAAGCATAAATACTACTTAGAGTACGTGTTTAAATAACAACCAAATTTCAATCAGGGCCAAAGGGCAAATGTTCAATGCGATTTGTAGAGCTATACAAGGCTATGCGGGGCAAATATGGAGGATTGACATGTTTAGCGAAGTAGACAAATTACAATGCTACTTCTTCAAAAGAATTTATAGGCTGGATGGAGTCAAATGTGGAAAACGGGCATTTGTACACAATGGACTTGCATTTAAGATACATTTGTAAGACTTTGTTTAATATAATGAAAAGGGATTGGCAAGAATATTGTCAAAAAAAGCTCTACAAAAAATATATTTTGGACAGAGAGATTAAACGTTTTAGGAAATGAAGCAAGCCTAGTTTGGAATGATAAAACAATACGCCAAGCATGGTAAAACAATAATTTCGCATTATTAAATCATTTATAAGCGGAAAATAGGGTGAATGTGGTGAAAAGCATTGAGAAGTGAAAGTAGAATTTATGAATACCTGGACCATAATTTAGGGGTTCAGTATTTTCAGGAAAGCTTCAGTCGCGCGCACATAATGTGGATTTTTAAGGCGAGATGCGATTTAATTTATTTAGAAGGCAAATACAATAGAAACTGTACACTATGCAACCTTATTGAAATGGAAAGCATGCAGCACTTTTTAGGCCGCTGTCATGTATTAAGGCCTTTTAGACAAATGTGTTTTGAGAGACAATCTTTAGTGGAAGAGGAAGTAATAAGTGTGCTTAATGGAAAAAATGACCCTAACTGGAAAAAATTGATTAACTATATTACTACTGCATTGCAATACA